TGTTACACCCAGTCTGAGCTGCAACAACAAAACAATTACGCCACAAACACAAACAAGATGTGAGCAGCGATGTGGATCCACGGTGAATAACCAGGAGCCTCCACGACTAATGCAGTGGCCCAGATCTGGGCCACACGCATCCATCAGATTGACAATCGACTGGTCGTGGTGTGGCTGAAAAGGATGCTCCTCTTTTTTCGGCGGCTGGGAAGAATCTCATCTATTAAGATGAATGGGAGGAAAAGAAGGACGACAGTGTAGTCGTGCCAGTGGCTTTGTGACAAACTGATGCTTGAGGCTTGCAGAGATGTGTGATGTGGGGGTGGGGGCATGTTTTGAATAAGCAGAGGCACACAGAGGTCACCGTGAGACGATTCCTTTCACCTTGGTGACCACCGGTTTGCTGTAGGGATGCGCAAAGAGAACAGCACAACAGTAATCTTCACTTCCCTCTAATACTATGGATTTTCACTCTTCAGCTATTCAACTAGTAAATGTTAATGATTTGTGATGGCTGAGGCTAATAACAGTCAATCATACGAATAAACATCCGTGTTTGCCGCCCACATGAACAATACATCAGTGTGAGCCCACGTTACTGTCTGGCTGTTGTTGAATTTCAAATTAGCCGTCCTAAAATGACATTGATTATTCCCATTCATCATTTTGTAGCAGCTGTAATGTGGTATTACTGTGCCACACACATCTGAGGACAGGCGACACAACCTCTCATCACTTATCATACAACGCCACCTGCTGGATGTTGAGAGAACAGTGAGCCACAAGAAGCTGAGAGGAAAATCTGTCCTTCTGTGTCTTTGATGCTCTGCAGTCCAGTGTTTATGATGCATGCATTATTAAGTGGGAGGTCTGAGGTAATATTTGATGCTGCTGCACACAGTACACTGTCTTTTATGTCTGTGTGCAATGCTATTAGAGTCACTTTAACAGTTCTGTCAGTTAAGGCCTTAACATATGCTGCTGAACACCTGCTGCTGTAATTCTGGGGACATTTTTGCAGAAATGGATGAAGTGTGCTGTGTTCAGTGATGCCAAATAAAGATAAATAAATTGTAAATGAGTTGAAAGGGACAAGATGAAGGACAAGATGTTAGTAAAGAACCATCTCTGGACTATAGGAAGATTTCCTTCCATCATTTTCTCCCTGGTTGAGTCCTGAAAACTCATAAGATCTGTTTCCACTCCATTTTCTTTAACAACTTTTCGACAAATTGGAAGAATGGAATGAGTGAACAATAATCAAATGAGTAGAACAACACTCAGTCTAATGCCCATCAGGCCCCCACACTCAATCAAGCTGCACTGAATTTTATGCCTTTACAGACATCAGTTCCCTAAATAAGTCAAACCTTTAAAAATCAAGATTCAATAATTATTCTCTGGGATATTTCTCAAACCGTCAAAGAAAGTGAAAAGACTTCCTGGATCCATCTCCTCTAGATCTGCACCAACATTTTTTGGGTTCTTTCCTGACTCATATCACATCCATTCACCAAGCGTCATGGAATTCAACCTGGTTGTTTTTGTGTAATCTTGTTGACAATCAAACCAACCAAGGACAGACAGGGGTGAAAACATATTTTTACTACTGGCTAATATATGGAACTGCACCTGGTGGTTAATTTTACACACATGGGAATTTTGGAAAAATGAAAAGCAGTGACAATCAAACAGACACATTTGTACAGTATCATGCCTGGACCTATGATTCAGCTGTAATCAGATGAGCAGAGCTATGGTGAGAGAAACTTACTGTCAGTTAATCCTCTATATAAGCTACGTTCCCTGCAGTGGACCATAATAACCAAAGTGCCTCCTCATATTCAGTGTCAGCAAACTTGAGGTCTCAAATGTGATCTAAAGGGCCATCCTCCTCTTCAACACTGACCTGCTGGATGCCATGCAAGTGAAAGATAATCAGTATTAGAAATCTAATGATAGTATAATAATATAATGAAAACGTATGGTCTTTAACCGAGGGTAGAGTGGTCGTCCTCCAACCAGAAGATTGACAATTTAATTCCCAGTCTTCCCCACCTGCCTGGGGAATTGCCCATCATAGAACAAAAAACTGCTGCTAATAGATGCACTGTATGAATGTGTGTGTGTGTGTGTGTGTGAATGGAAAACTGTACTGTAAAGAACTTTGACATTAACAAATTATAATGAAAAAGTGAAGAGGCCCTTAAAAACAATGTATTACTCTGATGTAACCACATGCATGGACACACACACACACACACACACACACACACACACACACACACA